TCTATGAGGTCTAGAATGACAAGGTCTTCTACAWAATAAGGTCTATACTGGGTGCTCTCTTGTCCATATTATCACCCTCCTTCATTACCACGGAGTCTCCTGCTTTGGACCTCAGCTCTATAGATCCCCAGGAGCGGCAGTGCTGGGGCAGCGGGATGGGAGCCGGGGCCGGCGCGCGGGGCTGCCGGCAGCAGCGGGAGCAGCGGGCGCTAACGCTCCGTCTTCCCCCCTCTTCTCCTCCTCTCTCCTTCCAGGCTCAGGCTCCGCAAAACTGCAGCATCATGTAACTCCATGCGCCATTCCCATGTTTCCTGGGCATCTTGAGCTACTTTTTCCCAAAGCAAATGGATTTCTCTTTTTTTTTTCTTTTCCATAAAAAGGGGTCGAAAACCAAGGTTGGGTTTTCTTTTTTTTTTTTTTTTTTCTATAGCAGGAATTTTATATATATATATATAAAATGCTAAAAGATGCTTCGATTTTTTTTTTTGTAAAGAAAAAAATCTATTTCTAGAAAAAAACCACCAAAAAAAGAAAGCTTTTCAGCTTACCTTTTTTTTAAAAAAGCCTTCAGCCAAAGACACCGAGGAATTGTTTACCGAGCAGCAATGCAGCGACAGAGCGGAGTGTAATAGCTCCAGAGATTGTATCCTTTCTGCCAAAGCTTTTTATATAGGACGAGGAGAAGTAAAGCCATCGCCAGCGGCGCCGGCGCAGACCCAGCGCGTCCCGCGGGGCTCCACGGCTCAAAGAGAGCAAAGCACCTTTGCAGCCTTTTTTATGAAAACTTTTGTTGTTTGTTTCTGGATTTGGACCCAAATCCCTCTTTTTTTTAGTGCATTTTTAAAAATTTTTCTCCTGTGTGGGCACCACCCTGCCACCGCGTGCCCGCGCTGCTGCCAGCGGGAAAGCCGGGCGCTCGCTCCACGTGTTCTGGGCAGAACCGGGTATTTTTTCTCCTTTCTTCCCCCCAAACTCCTTTTTTTTTTTTTTTCTGCTTTATTTTGTTTTTTTCAAGCCACCGAGTTGTGCCTTACGGAAGGTGCCGAGCGGGCGCCGCCGGGCACCGCGGCCCCGCCAGCCCCCGCCGAGCTTAACGCAGGACCGGTTCGCTCAGGAAGAGCATTTTGGGGCCGAACAAAGCGGTTTGGGGGCCCAGCGCCCCCCGCCAAGGCCGACCCAGCTCTCGGCAGAGATTTTCGCCTTTCGTTCCCCACTTTTTTGGGGGAAAGCGCCCGAGACCCCCGGCGCCCTTGGGTTGCCGGCACGGGGATGTCGCCCCGAGCTCGCGCTTCGCTCCGCGCTCGCCAGCTTCTGTACCCGCACCCAATACAGCCGCCCCGTGCCAGCCCGTCTGCTGTCGTCCTTGGGGTCCCRCGCGTCGCCACCGCGCCGGGGGGGAATGCGGGTGCCCAAACCCTGCAGGGCCGTGACGGGCTGATTTGGGGAGGAATCGAGGACTCTGCGCCCCGCTGGAGCAGTGGGAGGGCTGGGACCCCCGTGCCAAGCGGTGCCAGCGGGTGGCACCCGCGGGCGCCTCGGGGCGGCTTGAAGGAGGGGACGGAGGGCGCGGGAGCTCTGCAAAGCCGGCGCCTAATCCGCTTTGCGGCCGGCGCCGCGATGTGAGCGGGCGGCGCGGCCGGGCGCACGCACAGCCAGGTGGGTGCCCGGGGGACGGGCGGGCGCAGGGGGGGGACACGGGGGGCGCCGGGGCCCCTCAGCCGCGCGGTGCCCGCGGCGCGGATGGTGCCACCGCGTGCGCCCTGCAGTCCCGCGGGGCACCCATCCATGGGCACGTGGCGACCGGCGCCGCTGGCCCTGCAGGCAGCCGGGCACGCTGGAAACCCGCCCGGGTGCTCACTCGTGCACCGAGCTGCACGGCCTCTGCAGCGCCCCGCGGGAGCTGCGCCAGCCTGGGGACTGGAAGGATCACRGGGGGAACAGGGCCTGGGGAGCGGCTCTGGGTGGGGGGTCAGGCCACCGGTGGGGACCTGCAGCCGGAGCCGGAGTCGGGAGCCGTCCGGGCGGGCGGCACCTTGCGGAATGGTCGCGGGGCCCCGCAGCCCCCTGCGTGCTCCGCAGGATTAAGGTCAGGCCCTGCTAATCCCGAGGGTGTTAAGGAGTTGGGGGGGGGAGCTCCGGCACCCCCGTCCCCGCGGGCGCCCGGGTGCTGGGCGCTGCCGCCCCAGGGGGACTGCAGGCGCCGGGGTCCCCGTGCCGGGCAGGAGGCTGTGGGCCGGGGGCGGCCGTGCGCGGGCTCAGCCCCGCGGCCGGAGCGGCCGGAGCGGCCGGAGCGGCACAAGCTCCTTAGGGCGCCGCTGAGCCCCGTGGGAAGCGCCGCGCGCCCGGCCTCGCTCCCGGCCTCTTGTGCAAGAGCCCCCGCTGCGAGGGAGGAAGCGCTGCCAAGCAGAACTGGGGTCTGCCCTGGGCAGCCTCCTCGGGCGTCCTCCGCCTGCGGATTTCGGGGGGAAGTGATTTGGCAAGAGGAGCGTAGGGCAGGCGGGAGCGCGGCGCTGCCTACGGCTGCTCTGTGCACATCCATGTGCACACATGTGCACGCATGCCAGGCATGCATGAGCTTGCACATCTGTGCACATCCATGTGCACACATGTGCACGCATGCCAGGCATGCACAAGCTTGCACATCTGTGCACATCCATGTGCACACATG